GATGAGGATGCTCATTCCTTAACCAGAGGTCTCGAGTTCGAGGCCTGGGTATGGAAAAATCCTTGGTAAGGAGCGCTACCTCCCTCGAATGGGACCTTACCTTATGCGAATCCGAATATAATCGGGCTCCAATGTGAATACCGAACACCGGATGGGAACCCAAAAAATATTGTTGTGGACCTGAATATAATTTGATATTCTTGCTAAAACTAAGTCTTCTAGTTTGTAAATTTCAAGAAATAGAATTGTGTTCTAATTTTTTGTAATTCATAATATATTAGTCAACGTGAAAAAAAAGTAAGAGAGACCATACAGACTCTGTAGGGATGTGATCTGCAATTCACTCATTATTTATTACTCCTTACGGTTCACTTTAATTAATTTTTTTGTTCTTTTTACAAATATTGAGGAATTCATCTTTTAGCGTTAACTAAGAATAAAATTGACCATATTAATTTTAATATATTCGTTGAAAATATAATAAATATACTTCAAGACTCTTTAATCCATGGGCAACTTTAAAAAATAAAAGTTAATTCCTTCTTGATATCTGGAAAAAAATTAAATATTATTGACCATAAAAAAACTAAAAAATTAATTAAAGTGGACCGGATTGAGTATTGTTATCCGTTTGAAGAGATACACTAATTTCCAAAGGAGCCTAATTTTGTATAAGAAACTATACTTTTCTAAAGATATACCCTCCAAGTCTTCGCAATTGTAGCAACTATATAAAGAAATTTAGCTGGCGTTTGGCCATAGATTCCCAAATTTGTTTTAAAAATTTAATTTGGGTGAAGTTTGGTTTGAAGATGAAAATGTGTTTGGACATCAGTTTTCAAAACATATTTCACTTCTTTTTTTTTTTTTAAAAAAACATGAAATATGACTTATGACCGCAAGTTCTAAAAACTATCACAAATACCCAATATTACCTTCATCAATGACATTCATTATATTATCACAAATCATAGTCCTAAACATAAATAAATTTGGTACAAAATTATCATTTTTATAATGAACTACATAATACACTATCGGATCACCGAGAAGACGAAGCAGCATTGTTACAAAATAATAAATGGTGGAATTTTTTATAAAATACAAGAGTTTGGGGCAATTTTTAATAAATGCAATAGTAACATTTTGGCCCAAAACTAGCTCTTGAGCTGGTTTTGGGATTTGGATTTTAGGTTTTGGGAATTTGCCAAAATATGGATAAAATTTATGAACAAATATATATTTGCCAAAAAAAATCAACTATATTTTGACAAAATCAATGGCCAAACGGGTCCTTAATTTAGGGGCTAAGCCGCAACAAGAGAACATGAGACACTAAACTCTATATATATGCAATAGAGGTATTATGTGAAGCGACTTATTTTAGGGGGAAGTGCATGGTTGGCCACTAATAACACATGTATTTATTTTTAAGCCACCGTTTAAAATGTCTTTAGTCTTTAGCCACTGCTTTAATAAACTTTAACTGTCCGAACGAAAATACCCTTCTGCTCATGTCCTTAACTTCAGGACTACATGTCCTTAACTTTTGAACTTGAAACTCTAAGTTCAGGACTGTTTGTCCTTAACTTTTGAACGTGTAACTGTAAGTTAAGGACTGTCTGTCCTTAACTTTTGAACTTGGAAATCAAAGTTAAGGACCTATTGTCCTTAACTTTTGAAATTGTAACTGTAAGTTAAGGACTTCTTGTCCTTAACTTTTGAACTTGTAACTATAAGTTAAGGATTGCATGTCCTTAACTTTAGAACTTGTAACTGTAAGTTAAGAACTGACTGTCCTTAACTTTTGAACTTGTGTCCTTACTATTGAACTTAACTTTAGGACTTCAAGACTACATTTCCTTGGTACCAAGTACTTGTATTTCATCTGAAGTGACTGAAGGAGTTTTCTGTTCAACATTTTGCGAGACTATTTCTATCTCTGGATCAATATCATAAGGAACTTCTTCGTCACTATCATCATTTGACTCAGAATCTGCAATCTTTGTATTAGCAGTTGTTTTCAAAACCAAAAGCATCGTTGTCAATCATAACAGTAGTGAACAAGCGCAAAATTAAAACCTAAAGAAAAT